GACTGGAGCTTCTGGAGCTGCTGGAGGTACTGGAGCTACTGGAGGTACTGGAGCTGCTGGAGGCACTGGAGCTGCTGGAGCTGCCGGTACTGATGCAGCTGCGCCGACACGACTGTTCTTCGCTCCGCCGTCTCCGTCGTCTCTGCCGCCGTCTGACTCTGTTCTTCGTCAGGTTCTTACTCTCCCGTCGTCTACTGGTCTTCCGTTACAGCCTGGCTCACTGCTGCCTGCTCCTTCTCCTTACACTGAGCAGACTGGTAGTCCTGCTGAGCGTCGTGAGCCTGTGTCGCGTCCTGTCTCGCCTGCTCGTTCTGGTCGTACCGGTCGTCGTGTTCCTCGTTCGCGTCAGCCGGCTGTCCCCCGCGCACACCTCGTAGTTCGTCGTCCTTCCTCTGCTCTGCAGCCTGTTCCTCTGCCGTCTCCTCCTGCGTCCTCTCTACCTGACGTTCCAGACCCTGAGTCTGACCGGTTTCGTGCTGACCACCCTACTGTCACGCGTCTGCTAGCCACTGTTGTCACTGACCCGTCGTTTGAGTCTACTGCTGCGTCTGCTCTTGTCGCTGAGCTTGTTGACTTTGCTGCTGCCTGTCGTCTAGACTACGCCGCCAGTCTTGTTGCTGAGTCTGCGTCTGTCTGTCCTCCGTCCGTCGGGGGTGAGTGTGCTCTTAGCACGGACGTCTTTGAGGACAGGCAGGAGGAGTTCCAGTGTCTTGCTGCTGCTTTACCTCATCTTGTGTCCTCGCTACTTGCCCCTGAGGGAGACCCGGATGCACCAGACATCCCGACTCCGCGCTCTTACGCAGAGGCGATAGAGAGTCCCTACTCCTCTCAGTGGCAGGCAGCCATGGACGCAGAGATGGCTTCCTGGAAGTCCACAGGCACCTATGTCGACGAGGTTCCCCCACCTGGGGCGAACATCGTCAGTGGCATGTGGATTTTCAGGGTGAAGCGGCCGCCGGGTTCTCCGCCTGTCTTCAAGGCGCGTTACGTGGCTCGAGGCTTCAGTCAGCGAGAGGGAGTTGACTTCTTCCAGACCTTCTCCCCCACCCCGAAGATGACCACTCTTCGGGTGCTGCTGCACGTTGCTGCTCACCGTGACTACGAGCTTCACTCTCTTGACTTCAGCACTGCTTTCTTACAGGGCAGCCTGCACGAGGAGATCTGGCTGCGCCGCCCCCTGGGCTTCACTGGGTCGTTCCCTCCTGGCACCCAGTGGAGCCTCCGGCGGCCGGTCTACGGTCTCCGCCAGGCGCCACGTGAGTGGCACGACACACTGAGGACTACGCTTGCGGCTCTTGGGTTTGCGCCTTCTACTGCTGACCCGTCGCTGTTTCTGCGCACCGACACTTCACTGCCGCCGTTCTACATCCTCGTGTACGTCGACGACTTGGTTTTTGCCACTGCTGACACTGAGGCTCTCGCCCACGTGAAGTCGGAGCTGCAGAAGAGACACACGTGCACTGACTTGGGTGAGCTGCGCAGCTACCTTGGCTTGCAGATCACCCGGGACAGAGCACGCCGCACCATCACCTTGACTCAGTCACACATGGTGCAGCAGGTCCTTCAGCGCTTCGGCTTCACCTGGTCTTCAGCACAGGCCACTCCTCTGGCTACAGGTCACACGCTCTCAGCTCCACCTTCGGACGAGTCCGTAGAGCCGAGTGGTCCTTACCCAGAGCTAGTCGGCTGCCTCATGTACCTGATGACTTGCACTCGACCTGACCTCGCGTACCCTCTTGGTCTCCTCGCTCACTACGTGGCTCCTGGTCGACACCAACCTGAGCACATGGCTGCTGCTAAGAGGGTACTGCGCTACTTGTGCAGCACATCAGGCATGGGGCTAGTGCTTGGAGGGACGAGCCCAGTTGTCCTCACTGGGCACTCAGACGCTTCTTGGGTTGACGACCTGGCTACTCAGCGGTCGTCACAGGGTTACACCTTCAGCCTTGGCTCTGGTTCAGTTTCGTGGCGTTCTACACGCTCGTCTTCAGTTCTCGGCTCCAGTTGCGAGGCTGAGATCTACGCCACCGCCATGGCTGCACAGGAGTTACGCTGGCTCACCTACCTGCTGACTGACTTGGGAGAGCAGCCTCGTTCTCCTCCAGTGCTGTACGTTGACAACAAGGCCGCTATTGCCTTGTGTGAGGAGCACAGACTGGAGCATAGAACGAAGCACATTGCTCTGCGTTACTTCCTGGCTCGAGAGTTGCAGCAGCGAGGCCAGCTTTGTCTTCGTTACGTGGCCACTCGGGCCAACACTGCTGATATATTCACCAAGGCACTTCCGTCTGGTGATCATCAGCGCTTTTGTACTCTGTTAGGCCTTGTGCCTACGCTTCCACACTTGCTGTAGTCTTTGCTTGTACTGTGATCTATATACATATATACCTGTATGCTGGCTCTTGCTAGGTAGCCATCACTGTACTGTCATTGCTTCATATATATCTCTGCATGTGAACTGGCCTTGTGGCCATTTGCTTGTGCTCAGAATGTGTGGTGACGTTGTGATCCACCCTGAGCTTGTTTTGCTTCTCTTGACTGGTCTTGTGACCCGTTGCTCTCCCCCACTTTGCCTATGGGGGTGTGTCAAATGATATATATGTGTGATATATATTGGTAGGCTGTAGTGGGGTAGATGTTATAGGGGATAACACTTTAGGGTTGTGTTATTTTGTACCAAACTCTCGATAGTCAATCCAACCTTGCCTGATTCTCTCGACAGCTGCCAGCTGCAACTGCTGCGGATGCTGCATGATTCTGACGGTGTGAAGACAAAAAGCTTCAGTTCGAGTACTCGGCAATTTCGGTTTCGGTTTCTGGTCTACTTTCGCTGGTTCGCCCTTGACGACTTTTGGGCACGTAATTCCTGGTTTCGACATCGACATTTCCACACCGACGCATTTTCACTTGGGTTCCTTCCATCAACGGCTTCCTTCGTGGGACTTAACACCCGGTTTTGTTTGTTTTCATCTCGGCGCAGCTGCTGGAACTTTTATGGTGTGTTTTCTTGGAGTGGGGGAGAAAGTGCTTCGCACTGTTCTTTCCTTGGCGTTTTCTTGGTCCTTTTCTGACTTTGTCAGGTTGCGACAGCACGACGGACGACCGCGATCACACCGACACGATCTACGGTTCCTGCTCAATTGCGTTTGAATTCGCGTCAGCAGGTTCCCTCCCTTTTCGCATCTGCTTCGACCGTCGGATCTACAGCATATGCATCTACGGCTCACAATCCAACTTTCATTACAATTGAGGTCACTTCATCTTCGACCGTCAGATCGAAATCTGACAACATCAACGGCCGACATTCCAACCTTTTCAACAATATTGTCTGGGGCATTTCAGCCGTCGGATTCAGCTGAAGTGAAGATCAACGGCATCCTCGCTACTGGGTGACCCTTTTCAGTACAGGGCTGCCTTATTTAGGAGGTGGGAGAGTGTAAGGATTTACAAATCCTTACTGAGGCGCTCGATAGCGAGGCCATCTTGAGGGCCACGCGACCAACTGGTTCGGCCTACAATTTCGCATCCCAACCTCACCGAGCCGCCTCCGCACCAATCGCGACACTTCGCGAGCCAACTCTACCACACCATCCCCGCCTAGCTAGGTTTTCCCCTATTTAGGCCTCGCTACTTCATTGTTCAGACATTCTCGTTATTCGATATCTGCGCACTCTGACAAGTTCATTCATAACAGAAGCTCTATTTTCTTTCATGATATGCGCCATCTTGTTGTTGGCATTCCCTACCAATCATAGGCTACCTACCGCACTATGCAACTAACACACACTTGACATCACAGGAGTAGTAATTCACATCAGATCACAAACCCTTAGTGTTTCTTAGCCCCTCATTTGTATCACATAGGTATAGTTGTTATTCCTCACACTCTTCGGTTACATATTATAACTATTAGCGACTCTGTTTTTATCAGGAACATTAGTTGCCTTGTTGCCACCCAAGGCTCCAAACAAACGATGCGATGCGATGCGATGAACAGCCTACATCGGGTGCATTCTGCAACCATTTTCTCGCCCCCGCCCCCCTCACCCCCCCTCCTCACAATCAACGTTCAACAGGGCGGACCTCTAGATAGATTAGGAGCATGGTTCACATGAGGGCCCAATGCCGTGAGACAGAGGAACATGTTCTTAGTCAGCCAGGACTAGAGGCAACTTCAGAATGCGAGCGGCGATAGTCTAGAGATTGCATCGCAGACGCTTGCGTTTCTCACGGTACACTCGCTCTCACGGAACCTGACTCTTTCTCTCGCTGCGGCGGGTCGCAGCCATGGATTCTCACCGTTACCCTAGAGAGGCGCACGTCACTTCCTTGTGGCTCGCCCTAGTGAGCGCGGCCATTCAAGGCCTTCTTCTCCGAGTCGAGGTGCGCGTCGCGGCGGCGTGGTACATTCCGCCGCCCGGCACGTCCTTTTACTGGCAGCTCTCCAGCTCGCAGCCAGGTTCGTTCTCCATAATGGGTCGTCGCATGTCGCCGCATTTCGTCGCAATTACGTCGGTTCGCCGCAGGCAAGGTGGAATCGTCGCGTTAGGTCGCCTGTTCGTCGCATCCTTGTCGTAATCACGTGACCTCTTCCGATCTGCAGCCCACGACGACGATGACGACGACGACGACGAGGACGACGACGAGGACGACGACAACGGCGACGCGTGCTCTGCGAGGACATTTCCCTTCCCCGCAAGCCGCACTCTTCCCTCTTCCTCCGCAGATCCGGGGGACGCGCGACGGTCGACGGCAGATCCGCGATCTGGACTCGTGCTTGAGTCCTTAGAGAATTCTCAAAAGTAGCACCAATATTGCGTGAGGTGGGCGCTTATTTGCGCGACGGTCGACGGCTTCGACGGCGTATAGATCTCTCCGCCGGTCTCGGAAGCTAGTGGTTTTCGAAAACTCTCAAAAGTCACAGCCACTGATCAGATCAGATATTCTAGTTTCATCATGGCGCCGCTCGTACTTTCAATTCGACCAACCCCGCCGCAGGCATGGTGGACACGACCGTGAACGCGCAGGTGTACGACATCGACGGCTTCGCCACGCCCGCCGCGACGATCCGACGGCTGCAGGCGGCGGGGCGCAAGGTGATGTGCTACTTCAGCTTCGGGTCCGCCGAGGACTACCGCGCCGACTACTCCCAGTTCCCGCGCTCCACGCTCGGTGGCCTCGTCTGCAACGTGAGTTCCGCGAGTGAGCTGCGAGACGGATGCAAGGGGAGCGATGCGATTGCAGCAAGTGATTGTTTGTAACGCGCCTTTTGCTGCAGTTACGTGATGTTACTGTAGCTCTGGTGGGTGTGTGTGTGTATGCTGCTGCGGCAAGGAAGAGTTTCAAGTTTGTCCTTTCACCATCTCGCGCATCTGCGCTTCGCCTCTCAAAGGACCTTGCCCAAACACCCCCACTTCAAAAGCCCCCACCTAACCCCCCTCCAACGCCCCCCCCCTCCTCCCCCCTTCCCCCGCCTTCTTTTGCCCCACTCTTGGTGAACCAGTGTTCACAGTCTTGCTTTCGTGATTCAACTTCGCGTTTCCATTGTGCCCGCCGGTTCATCTCTATAATTTTTTTTGATGCATCATCTCCCTTTTGCATCCCCCTCTCCCCCTCTCTCTCCGCCTTCTCCTTTCCCGCCATGAACTGTGTCATTTGTGCTCCCCCCTGTGCAAACCCCTGAACCCTCTGGTCGCTCCGCCAATCAGAGCGACGACTGCTCCCAGGTGTGGGAGGGCGAGCGGTGGCTGGATGTTCGCAGCAACGCGGTGCGGAGTGTACTGGAGAAGCGCGTGCAGGTACAGAGCAGAGTGTATTGATTGGAATGTGCTGTGCATACACAACACAATCGCATGGTTTGTTTTGTTATTTCAGGCTCCAACTCTTTACTCTTTTTTTCGTGCATCGCCCAGTGGTCCACATTATTGCTGCCTCTCACGGCCGTTTTTCCTCTCCCTTCTCCCTCCCCCCCCCCCCCCCCCCCCCCCTCCCCGCTTTGATGTGTGATGTGAACCCCCCCAGCTGGCGAAGCGCAAGGGGTGTGACGGGATAGAGCCGGACAACGTGGACGCATGGAGCAACAACATCATGTACAAGCCCATCAGCCGCTTCAAGATCACCGCTAATGACCAGGCCAACTTCAACCTCTGGATCGCCCGCACTGTGCACAAGTATGTGTTCATGCTGCTGCTATCCACCACACATGCACCCTTGCACAGGTACAGTCATGCTGACACATACATGAGCAGTCACGCCGCTGACTGGGCCAACTTCAACCTCTGGATCGCACGCACCGTGCACAAGTGTGTAAGGCAGCACGCCGATTCATATGTAGTTATGCTGCAGTGCGCACCGTGCACAAGTATGTGTGGCGGCACGCTCCCTCGCACTTGAGTAATCACGCTGCTATCCATCCCGAACCCATCCCACCGCTTCATACTGCCTGTTACCCCCACCTGCCACCCACACCTGCCACCCTTACCTGCTACCCACACCCGATTCACTCTCGCAGGTACGGCATGTCAGTGGGTCTCAAGAACCCCGGCGCCCTGCAGCCCTCCCAGATGGCGGCAGCGTTTGACTGGGCGCTGGTGGAGCAGTGCAACGAGTACAGCGTGTGGGGCGGCGGCGGCGCGTGGTACAGCGGCAGGTACGTGTGGCTGCGACTACCATACAAACGAGATCATTGTGCTTCATGCAGCCGTGTTTGTTGCTGGGTATACAGATGCACCACATTCCACCGCTTCATACCGCCCGCCACCCCCACCCCCGCCCCATCCGCTCTGGCAGGTACGGTTGTGACTACGCGAACGAGTTTGTACGCAGCAAGGCTGTGTTTGTGGCTGAGTATTCTGACTCCTGGGGAACAGCTGCCGGGCGTAAGAACGGGATCCAGTTCCCCCAGGTGTGTGTGGTGTGTGGTGCTGTCGGTGGTGGTTGGTTGGTGGGGAGCAGGGTGATTGCTGTGGTGTGGAGTGCCGTGTGCTGAGATCTGCTGCTTAAAGGGGTGGCGTTTTGGGGGAGGAGGAAGATTCAGCTCGGTTCGCATGCACACCAGCTCACATGCACGTCCACCCAAATGCACACCAGCTCACATGCGCACACTCACATGCACACACACACTCATATGCACACCCACTCTAAACTCACATGCGTATTCAATTCAAATGCATGCCAACTCACCTCTTTCTCTTCACCTGCTTCTCTTGCTGCTGCTTTGCCTGCTACCGTAATACCCTGGATATAAGACCCCCCTCTATCATACGGAGGGGGGTACGCTAAATAGGTCGTTTGTGGTTATACCCCCCTTTTGGAGAGCTAACATTATAAGACCCACCTCCCCCTAGAGACAAGGTCATCTTATAGGCAAGGAATGAAATTTTGATAGCTTTTCTACAATTTTCCACACCAAATCCCATATCATGTTCATTATGGAGGGGTAACAGCCAGTCACAAAAGCACATCCACTCATCATTTTGTCCAGCAACATATTCCTCTACCTCCTCCCCATCATATCCATCCCCTGCCCACCACTTGTGACAAGGTAACCACGTTTTGGGACCAATAGGAGAAAGCACCCAGCGTGATTGCTGGGTGACGTTCCTTTGACGGTCGTGGAGTTCATTCCGCGTATTTCCTTTGAATGCTTAAAACGGAGCACATACTGTTTCCATGTCTGGCTTCCAAATTACAAGTATTATTTATGATCTTATGATAAGACCCGGGTCTGATATAATGTAGCCAACTGTTAAGACCCCCCCCCCCCCCCCTCCCCCCCCACCCCTTTTTGGGGTGGGATTCTTATAATACCCCCAGGGTATCACGGTAATTGCATCCCTTCTCCTTCTCTCCCTGCCAAGGCTATTTGTGCGGACAACAACGCACACGTTGTCACAACACAGCACGTCTACAGCATGGACCTCGTGCCAGGCTACCACTATCCCTTCAATCACACCTCATTCCCTTGCTACTGCTTCCCTGCTGCTGCTCCCCCCTCCCGCCAGGCCATGTGTGCGGACAACAATGCACACGGCTTCACAACGCGCCTTTACAATATGGACCTAGAGCCGGGTTACCGCTACCCCTTTGCTGACTGCCTGCGCCACAAGCCTGCTGGGTGCAACGCCATGTGGCAGCAGTGCGTGCAGCCGTCTGTGTACAAGCTGTTCATGCGCAGCGGTATGAAGCGGTGGGATGCGGTGGGGCAGTGCATGCGCAGCAAGGCGGGGGTGTGCGCATACACATGAGGAGTGCTTGTAGTAGCACATGGCATGACATGGCACATGGCACATGTTGCCATGTATTGAAAGTTAAAGCCCGAGTCTAGAATGGCAAAGGTTCAACTTCAAGATTCTTGAACTTGTTTTCGTCAAGAACAGGGTAACCAAGTACAGAAAGCTGATCTCTCGCTACCCACTGGAAAGGGAGTTGGTGGGCCAGAAGGTGATTGGCCAAATGCCCCACAGCAAAAACACGGACGAGCCTCGCCAGAAACAAACAAAGGCAAGTATCACTGTTCACACTTTCAGAACTTGAAACTCGACAATACCTTTCTAGACTCGTAGCATAGTGGGCTCCATAGCCCATATTCTCGTCAATAGTCAGCATAGTTACGCCCATCTCCCTGCCGTATGCTAAGACTTTTGTAGCACATAAAGGTGGAACTTCCCGGCGACTTTTTCGCGCATAACAAATCCGATCTCGTAGCCAGCAAGGAAGGCATGACCCTCAGATTGATCGCCACCGTGAGACTTACTCGTCGCCGCTGAAGGTTATCCTAGCCCGCACTCAATGCCGGTCCGCAATAACTCAAGCCCGCCCTCACTCCCGTCGTCGTCACTCCAGTCGTTCTCTCTCTTCCGTCAAACTCTCTTTCCCGTCGCGCTCTCACTCCCGTCACTCTCTCACTCCCGTCGCGCTCTCACTCCCGTCGCGCTCTCACTCCCGTCGCTCTCTCCTTCCGGCGCGCTCTCACTCTCGTCGCTCTCTCGCTCCCGTCGCGCTCATTCTACCGTCGCTCTCTCACTTCTTTGCGCTCTCACTCCCGTCGCTCTCTCACTCCCGTCGCTCTCTCACTCCCGTCGCTCTCTCACTTCCGTCGCGCTCTCACTCCCCTCGCTCTCTCAGTGACTGTCGCTCTCTCACTCCCATCACCCACGCACGTCGCTCGCACATGTCGCTCACACTTGACACACACGACTCACTAACACATGTCGCTCATATCTGCTCCTCTTACCCTCTTCCCCCTTTGCGCTCCCCCCGGTCCTCCTTTGCCCATCTTCCCCGTCACTCACACACGACACACACGACATGCTCACACATGTTCCCATCTCCCCTCTCCTCCCTTCCCTCTCCGTTCCTCTCCTCCCTTCCCTCTCTGTCCCCCTCCTTCCCTTCTCTGTCTTCGCCTCGCCTCCCTTCCCACTCATCCCCTCCCCTTCCTTTCCTTCTCGTCGTCTTTCCTTCCTTCCATCTGTCCATTCTCCGGGAAGAACTGGGAGGGGACTGAAGAGCCTTCTCTTCCCTCCTGCCTCACTCACTCCCGTCTGTTACCTACATCAATCCTGTTTATCATTCCAATCACTTGCTTTCCTCACTGTCCCACTCCTCCCTTCCCTCTCTCACACCCCCTCCCTCTCACACCGCTTCCGTCTACCACTAATGCAACTGGCGTGCATCCCCGTGACGCAGGGTGCAGGTGATGGCGGCGTGTTTGCGTGACTATGTGGCATTGTGAATGTTGGGGGGAAGGGGGGGAATGGAAGGCGGAAGCCCACGTCGCTCCCGTCACTCCCTTCCCTTTGGGCCCGACCCTCTCCGCCTCTCGCCGCTTCCGTCGTCGCCTCTCCACTTTCCCTTTCCCTTTCCCCCATGTCCTTTCATGCGCTTTTCCCATTTACCCTCCCTCCCTTCCTCTATAGTCCGTCCCACCGTTCCTCTCCCTTGTTTCCCTCCTTTTCCGCCCGTGTCCTGCCCTCTGTTGCCCCGATCCCCATGCCCTATACCCCATGTCTCTCCCTCGCTCCATTCCTGCCATACCTCCCTCCTCCCACCTCTGCTCCTACCCTCCCTTCCCTCTCTCGCAGTCACCTCTGTTTTCCATCTCTCTCCTAGCTTCCTTTCCCGCTCTACCCTCAAGCCCTTCCCACCCTCCCTCCCTCCTCCCATGCGTCCCCGCCCATCTCACCTTCACAATTACGTCCTCTCTCGATTCCCATCCCTCGCGTCCATCTCCCCACCAATCCTCCCAGAACTCACCGTCCTAGGTTCCTACCTACATCCTCCTTCTTACGACGTCTCCCCCGTTACCCCCCCTCACCCTCACCTCAGATTTTCTCCAACTCCACTCGCCCCTGCTGCCCCTAGGTGCCACATGGTAGCGTGGTTGGTGACCTCTCCATACGTCCCTCGCTATTTCGTCGTCGCCACTCCCCTGTCTGCCTCTCTCGTCCCTCTAAGATCATCCCCTCCGTTCCCTTTCGTCCCCTCTCGCCCCTCCTTCCTCAGCCACTCTCCTCCTTTCCCTCTCAGCCCCTCTCCTCTTTTCCCTCTCAGTGCCTCTTCTCCTTTACCTGATTTGTGTTTGTACAGGTCCGCTAGACATCAGTGCTGGTGCTGTGGTGATGTGGTGGCTGGCAGTTTGATAGTACTATAATGACTCGCCATTCAATGTTTTGATCTTGGAAGCTTTGTTATAATACAAACTCTGAGCTGAGGAGCAGCCATGCATATGACCACTGCACAAAAGTGCAACAAAATTTACAATTGATTTTCAACGCAAAGAAGACAGCTAGGAAATGTAAGGTCTTCTTGTTTGCTACACAGCATGCAACCTTGGCCTGTGGTGCTGGGATTCTGGGACCTGTACACTGCGTGGTTGGAGATGGGGGTGAGTGAAAGGGGGAACAGAGCGAGCAGGGGGGAAGAGAATGAGCAGTGGAGAAGAGAATGAGCAGTGGAGAAGAGAATGAGCAGTGGAGAAGAGAATGAGCAGTGGAGAAGAGAATGAGCAGTGGAGAAGAGAATGAGCAGTGGAGAAGAGAATGAGCAGTGGAGAAGAGAATGAGCAGTGGAGAAGAGAATGAGCAGTGGAGAAGAGAATGAGCAGTGGAGAAGAGAATGAGCAGTGGAGAAGAGAATGAGCAGTGGAGAAGAGAATGAGCAGTGGAGAAGAGAATGAGCAGGGGGCTCAGAGAATGAACAGGAGGGGGATGGGAGGGCGACGGGATGGGGATGGGAGGGTGATGGGATGGGGACGGGAGGGGGATGGGAGGGTGATGGGATGGGGACGGGAGGGGGATGGGAGGGTGACGGGAGGGGGATGGGAGGGGGATGGGAGGGGGACGGGAGGGGGATGGGAGGGGGATGGGAGGCGGATGGGAGGGTGTTGGGAGGGGGATGGGAGGGGTATGGGAGGGCGACGGGAGGGGGATGGGAGGGGGATGGGAGGGGATGGGAGGGCGATGGGAGGGGGATGGGAGGGTGTTGGGATGGGGACGGGAGGGGGATGGGAGGGGGATCAGAGGGGGACGGGAGGGGGATCAGAGGGGGATGGGAGGGGGATGAGATGGGGACGGGAGGGGGATGGGAGGGGGATGGGAGGGGGATGGGAGGGGGATGGGAGGGGGATGGGAGGGGGATGGGAGGGGAATGGGATGGGGACGGGAGGGGATGGGAGGGTGATGGGGTGGGGACGGGAGGGGGATCAGAGGGGGATGGGAGGGGGATGAAGTGGGGACGGGAGGGGGATGGGAGGGCGATGGGAGGGGGATGGGAGGGTAATGGGATGGGGACGGGAGGGGGATCAGAGGGGGATTGGAGGGGGATGAAGTGGGGACGGGAGGGGGATGGGAGGGCGACGGGAGGGGGATGGGAGGGGGATGGGAGGGGGATGGGAGGGGGATGGGAGGGGGACGGGAGGGGGATGGGAGGGTGATGGGATGGGGACGGGAGGGGGATGGGAGGGCGACGGGAGGGGGATGAGAGGGCGATGGGAGGGGGATGGGAGGGCGACGGGATGGGGATGGGAAGGGGATGGGAGGGGGATGGGAGGGCGATGAGAGGGCGATGGGAGGGCGATGGGAGGGCGATAGGAGGGGGACGGGAGGGGGTTGGTAGGTCGACGGGAGGGGAAAGCGAGGGCGACGGGAGGGGGAAGCGAGGGCGACGGGAGGGGAAAGCGAGCGCGATGGGCGGGGGAAGCGAGCGCGATGGGCGGGTGAAGCGAGCGCGATGGGCGGGGGAAGCGAGCGCGATGGGCGGGGGAAGCAAGGGCGATGGGCGAGGGACTGTGGCGACGGATGGTGGATGCAAGAGATCGACGGACGGGGGAAGCGAGGTCGACGACGCTCTAATTTCCCATCTCGTGCCGCGCTACGTGCTTCACATTCGCATTCGCGCCACATTCCCTCCCTCGGTCCACGGTTTCCTCTCGATTCCGGCATAATAGCATATATTTTCACAGGACATGCCTAAATATATTACTCTGGATACTTATTAGTTTTCTAACACAGATGCTCTAACTATCTGGACTTGCGCACGCTTCTCAGCCTGCCCCAAGGGTGCGCTTGCGGACTTGGCGATAATCTGGGTTGTGAGTCGCGTGGGGGTGGTTGGGTTTGGTTTTGTTGTTAGTGTTTGTTCAAGTTTCGGGAAGTCGAAATTGAAGTTGCGATACAGTGTAGAGCATTCCGCCTTCGCCACCTTCCCCCGGCGAATTTTTCTCTCGTCAACCTTCGCACAAACCTTTTCAAGTTCAGTATTTATGAACCCTTGCCATTCTAGACGCGGGCTACTGAATTTTGTTTTGCCATAGGATAAAATCAAGAAACTCCATCCTCATCGCCTATCTCCAATCAGAAGTTGTAACATTTGAGACATAGGCGCAATCGGAGGGTCTCTTTGAGGAGGGGGGTAGTGCAAGTTTGCAGCGCCTGAAAGCAAGATAGTGACTTCTAAGAAGAGGTTAATACAAAATAATATTAGTTTAACGAGTAGTTTACTAAGCTTGCAGTATAAGGAAGTGTGGAAGTCATCTAACGAGAACATAACTTGTAACATACGAATGATGAATCAATGCGACTTTTGCGAAAAACGTTGGTTCGGTTACGAGGTCGTTCCCAAATCGGTTGGCCCGATCCCCAAGTGTCGCCAAATTCGCTGTGCTAGAAGCCAGACTCCCCAAGTGGCTGGGAATGGAATCGGTGGGTGCTGCAGCTGCTCAAAGCAACGTGCCTGCCGTCACGGTCGGTGTGAGAAAACGACTAGGCATGGCGGATGGATGTGAGATGAGAACAGAGCTGGGCCTAGAGGTGTAGAGGCTGTGGTGATTACGTGGTGCCGCAGTGGCATGACAACGCCAGGGCTGAGGGAGGGAGGGCAGCACACCGTAAGCCAGCGAGTCTTCGATTCTCGCTCCACTCTCTCGGATTCTCAATCCGTCGGAGAATCCAGAGCTTGTGCTCCACCTCCTAACCTCCTTGCCGCGCCTCCCATTCCCGCGCCTCCCATTCCCGCGCCTCCAGAAACATGGGTGCCGACATATTACTCGCGTAGAATACGACGACGATTAGGACAAGGAACGAGAGTTGCGTCGCGTAGCGACGGTGGCTGATAAGCCGACCCACTACTAGTACTAGTACTAGCCCTCATCGCACCAACTTGCTCCGTCGCAACTTGCTCACCGTCGCAACTTGCTCACCGTCTCAACTTGCTCACCGTCTCAACTCGCATGAGCAGCACCCTGCGCGCAGTCTCCTCGTTTCAGCCGTGTGAGTCGCCAGAAATGGGCAACACTTTGTCGCGCACTCACCGCCAGCAGCGACGCCATCTCGTCGACGCGTCACCGTCCGCGCATCCGTCGCGCACTGCTGACGCGGCAGACGTTGGGGAGGGAACCCGCTGTTCGCTCAGGCACCACGCAGTTGTAGTCGTTGCGAGGGCTATAAGTGTCCGTGGCCCGCCCTTCCATGCACATCCCATCTAAGTGCTTCTAGTCTTCACCCTTAGATCCCATCGGAAATTGAGCAACTTGCAGATCGCTTTGATTTGAAACCAGCGGCGTTTCACAGTTGAGTGGATCATGGCGTCGACGAAGGTCCTTGCGGTTCTGATTCTTGTTCTTCTCGCCACCTCATGTGAGCTCCACCTCCCATTCCTCGTGCTTCGTCTCTTGCTCTGCGCCTCTTGCTCCACGCCTCATTCTCCGCGCCTCGTGCTCCGCGCCTCGTGCTCCGCGCCTCGTGCTCCGCGCTTCGTGCTCCACGCCTCATTTTCCACGCGTCCCACTCGTCGCAGTATGCTCTGCTCCCGTCCGTTTCTTTCTTTTGTTTCTGAAACGGTTCGTACTAACGAACGAGCGTGCCGTCGCTTGCATGTGCAGGTGCCTTTGCTGCTCCTGGTAACGGCAAGGGGAAAGGCGGAAACGGAAAGGGAGGCGGCAAGGGAAATGGCGGCGGAAAAGGCAACGGGAAGGGCGGAAAGGGAAAGGGCGGCGGGAACGGTGGCGGGAATGGTGGCGGGAACGGTGGCGGAATTCTGGGCGCGCTGACTGGCGGAAATATGACCGGCGGATGGGGCGCGGGCGGGATATTCTCCGGCCTCACCTCGCTCTTTGGCAACGGCAGCGCTCCAGGCGACCTGGGGGGCATCTTTGGGCGCAAGGGCGGAAACGGGAAGGGCAAGGGGAATGGCGGAGGCGAGGGGGACGGTACGGAGGGTGTTAGCCCTGCAGGCGCGAGTGAGGCAGTGATTGGGACGATGGGGGTGGGCAACGGCAAGGGGCAGGGCAACGGGCAGGGGCAGGGGCAGGGGCAGGGGCAGGGGCAGGGCAAGGGGAAGGGGAATGGCGGAGGGAAGGGGAAGGGAAAGGGCAAGGGCAAGGGGAATGGCGGAGGTAAGGGGAAGGGGAACGGGAAGGGCAAAGGGAACGGGCAGGGGAACGGGCAGGGAAACAGTACAGACAGTGGTAGCCCTGCAGGCGTGGCGACAACTGCCAGCTCGCGTGTGATGGGGTTGATGGGGGTCGGCAACGGCAAGGGGCAGGACAATGGGCAGGGGCAGGGCAATGGGAAGGGGAACGGGAGGGGGCTTGGTTGGGGTAAGCGCGGGAAGAGCGCGGGAGGCGTGTTGGCGAAGCTGAAAGGCAGCAGTGTCGCGGCTGATGCGCTGACAGCCCCTGGCGATGCCAACGCCACCGGCGTCCTTGAAATCACCCTCCTGCAGTGAGTCCCCTGATCCCTGGTATTGACTTCTTGATTGAACCCATAAAAAGCCTTTACTTTGCGCATGGTGGAACTGTGTCTCCCCCTGCCCGCCTCGCTCACTCCATCTCCTTCCCCCCTCTCTTTCCTGGATGTCGGTGGGCAGGAACGGCACGGACTACGACGTGGCCTTCACGGCGTGCATCTCCCTCTCCACTGACGCCGCGCCCACGGCGCTCACTCTCAACAGCGGCAGCGCCGGCACCACCGGAGCGACTCTGCTGGACTTTTCCACAGCCATGGGCGCTGACGGCATGTCCCCCCCTGCATGGACCAGCGTGGCCTCGCCCTCCCCTGGCAGCGGCCCCATGGGGCACGCGTGGGGCCGCCTGCAGCGCGCAGCGGGGCGCTCGGCGCTCGTGGCAGGGCTGCACACGTTCACTCTCACGGGCGTGTGGCGCGCTGCTGCCACCGTGGCTGCTGCTGACGGCGTGCAGACGGTGAAGGACGTGGCGCTGGCGGTTGTGGCGCAGCCCCCGCCTTCTATGCTCTGCTCGCTTCTCCGGGCTTCGAGGCTGGTGCTGCTAGGGGTCAGTTCCAGAAGGCACCCAAAGGATGGGCGTTCGGGCTCAGGAACTGAAGTGTGAAGGGAGTCGGGGGGGCGGGAGTGTGAAGGAGGTAGGATGTCTGTGGTGGTGGCAGTGTGCTACTGAGATGGGGATGACTACCTTCGTTGAGCCTCCTACAGAGTCTGTTGTTAGAGGGCCTGCTGCTTACATGAGGATAGGGTTGTGTCATGTGTAGCTGCGTAGCTGCTACAGTCCTTCGCTTCATGCACAGCAGGTTGGAACATTAGGGAGGCTCTATAACAACAGGTCTTCAGTTGGCATGTTTTACACATTTCATTTACGCGAAAAGTTACAGTGCGTGTAGCAATCTCAGCACTTGATGACACAATTCTAAGAAGCAAATGAATCTAAGCACATGAGCCACTGCCGTACTTTCTACCCCACTGAATAGTTGGAGATGATCTTGATTGTGCTTGCATCCTGATCATAGATCGAGTACCATCCAGGTGTTTCGTGTGGGGGATCCCCAAGTCGACGTGGGCCACTGTCTGAGGGACGACCTTGGCCTGACCAAGCCCATGGTGCAATACCCGCAAAAGAACCAAGTTTTGCATTAACAGTTGCATAGATGTGGTTAAAATAATCATCCCTGAACGTTGTTGCTGCTTCCGGACTGTATCTGTTCGTGGAGCTTGGCGTTGCCCACTCCTGTTTCTCCCATCCATCTCTGAATTGCAGCAAACAATGAATTAAGGATGAGCTCATATACCGACGATGTTGAATAAGGAGGTGTCTGCTTACCTCGCAAGTCCAAACTCCTCTAGGATGAGTGGCTTTTTCAGTATGTGTGTGTAGCCAGCATGCCTTTCCAAGAAATCGGTTGAGTAGTCCTTGGCTGCATTGAGATTAGCAGCACTTCCATTGTATGGCTGGTATATTCCCCAGTTCTCAACCTGTTAAGGTTCTCAATTTAGGCAAACAAAAAACAAAACAAATGTTTGCCAACATTGTGATTACTTACCCAAAGATGCACCGTTGCGAAATCCAGGTATGGACTAGAATGTGTGCGGATGAATGCTTTGCCACTGTCATTGGCTTTCCCTTCTAAACCACTTGTAAGCAGATGATTATGATCCAGAGACTTGATGTAGTGACCTATTAACAGAAAAGAAGGTGAACTGTGTGATCAGAACTTCACAAAGATATGAAACGAAGCTTACCCATTCTGTCAATCCACCAGCGAGGTGGGTCTTGAGGCTCGTTCGTAATCTCCCACGAAAAGATCGTGTTGTCTTCACTATAGACGAGGCCGCTGATGTGATTCACCCTCTGAATGATGGTCTTGATGTGATTTTCTAACATAGATTGAGCTGACTTCATGATGCTTTTGTCACAGTAAAGCCGAGAGGCGTAATCAATGTACTCTTGCCAGCTTCCAGTGAAGTCAGGAAACGACGGGGGATAAGGGATGTTCTGCAACAAGCATTGAAAAGAAAGTCGCAAGAGGGTCGATTAGGTCAGGGAAAGCTGAAGACGGCTGAAGATGACGGGAGGGGAGTTCGACTAACCTGTGATGGATCTGCCCAGAAAACGTACTGAGCGAATCCTCCGGAGTCTTGCCAAAAGTCACTGAGAGAAACAATGGCTTTCATATTTCGTTCTTTCAAGGAATGGAGAAGATAGTCGAGTCCTTTAAACACTGACTCGTCGTGCTTGAAAGGCCTGATAAGGGACTAACTTAACATGAGATTGTTACTCAAAAGAAAGAGAAGGAGTGCCGCATACAACACTGACTCAGGAAACAGAGCTGGCTTCCACCGATACGGCTCAGAATTTGGTCCCAGACTGGAACCAAGGATTCTTATGCCATTCAAACCCATGGTGGCTAATGTGTTGAGTTCATAGTGCAACCTGCTTCTGTTTCCTCCCGATTCTTCGGGCATTGCCAGCCAAACGGCTTCCCAGAAATTAATGCCTGCAGAAGTTTCAGGTAGTAGAGAAATGCTGGAGGAATGGGAATAACCGGCTAATATGGTACTGGTACTCACCTTTGAAATGAAAAGGTTTATTGTCAAACACAAAGGCAGTTGAGTTTGTAGAGACCTTGACGTATTCGGCGCCTACGAGCATGACACTCATCACCAGAAGAAGCGCAACTGCGCAAAATGACTGAACCCTCGGCTTGCATGCTCGGAAGTGAAAGGCCATTCTGATGTGCGTGCGAGAATGTGGTGATGTTTGGTATTTCTTTTTTTGCAATTGCAAGAATATGACGGCAGAGCACCGTGCGAGCAGGAACACCACAGCGCGGTGGGGATTCGGGTATGCGCGATTATGTATTTTCCGTTAATATTCTCAAAATTGTGATAGAAACGTGCTATACACCTACATTAAGCACTACATCTATACTTAGCATGCTTCAGCACAGCCTAATCGCAATGAAGAACCCCCAGAAGTTTAAAATCACAACGCACTGCCTCCTTTGAAACTCCCTTCCAAGTGTACAATGTCACCAAGGTTCTCTTCTCCACCAGGGTGATCTGTCCAGAAAGTGGGACATATATAGGCAGAATAGGACAAATGAAGACGAATCTGCAGACTGCTAGATCAGGGAAGCAAGAGCCCAAGGCTGGAAAGGAAGAAACAAACAAGAACGAGAAAAGCTCCTGCCATAAAATCAGATTTGTCTACCTCATTTTCCCAAAGTTCCCAGGAACTTACAAGTACATCTCTTCATGGTGGAGTCCATACGATGGATCGATACACTCGTGAAATGCATGCATGCCGCGCCACATTGCACTGCCACCGCCGCCACCGCCGCCGCTGCCACCACCACCTCCGACATAACCACTGCTATCTCTGTTCTTCCCTTTGCTACTGCCTTGCTTCGCCGTGCTCCCTGTAGTGTGTGAGGGCTTCCAAGAAGCAGGCACCTGTCTGTGTGATGACAACGGCTTATGAGAGATGATAGCCCTGCTTGCACCCATGGCTGTGATGCTAAGATTTGCAATGCTCATACTATTGACGGGCATGTGCAGCGGCAAGTTCAGCACCTTCTCCCCCACCCTCACCTCCTCCCATGCGCACTCCTCCTGCTTACCACTAACCTCCCTGTCTCTCTCCTCCGTTCCTTTCCCATCTCCCCCCCTCTCACTCTCAGTGCGCTCATCGTCACTCTCTTCCGCTTCCTCCCCAGCCTCCCCAACCCCATCCCACTCCTCGCTTCCTCCCTCATCCAACCACCCGCTCCTCACGTCCCATCGCCACGTCTCAGCAGCAGCAGGCACCCACACGTGCAGGGAGCGCATGAGAGGGCAGTGCAGCAGCAAGGTGTGCAGAGATGCACGGGAACAGGGCGCACCCAGCAAGCAGCAGAAGAAACCCAAGAGGCCCGTACCCACTGGCAACGGGAGCAGGCTGGGCTCGGAGGAAGAATCGATCTCAGACAGAGAGAAGAGAGCAGGAGGGGGAATTGCAGAGGGAGGGCCGAAATTGGAAAGACCACGGGGATTGTAGGGAGGAAGCGGGTGATGCAGATCGTTTGATGCATCACCCATTCGTCCCTGGGTCATGAGCACATCTTGTCCTCCTCCTCCTCCTGCTGCTGCTGCTGCTCCTGCTGCAAACGCACCGTGCAAACCGCTACCGAAACTAGCCGCAGTACTGCTGTTGCCAGCGGAGGTGGCTCCGCTAAGGCTCAACGGTTGCTGCCTGTGCAGCGCAGAGAGGCCGAAGGGCGGAGTGGGATGGTGGTGCTGGCGGCGGGAGGATATGCACTTGACTGCCATGCTCCTGAGGCTACCCCACGTGCCACATTCCAGCTGCCCGATCACTCGCCGTGCAACAAGAATCTCCACTGTGCCTGCCACGCGGGCCAGCCAACTGGAAGGGGGGGAGATGGGAAGGTGCTCGAGTGTCGAGGCCACTGAATTGGTGTGCAAGGGCGAGAAGTGTTCGTCTACAACGCCGTTGTTTAACATGCCACTGGTGCTGCTGCTGCTGTAGGAGGGGCTGCTATGGAGGACGTGGCCGCTGGGAAAGTGTGTGCTGCTGTCTTGAATGCTCTCGTCCGCATCGCTGCTCATCTCTGGCAGCAGACACTGCCCTCCAACACTCCCCGGACCTGCTACGCCAGATTCAAACCCAGGTGAAATGGCAGGAGAAAAGCCAGGAAGAAATCCAGAAAGGTTGTCAGGTGGGCCATGTACAGACCCAGGTGCTGCGATCCCAGCATAACCACTAGGTAGCACCCGTGTGGGTTGACGCAGTAGCAGAGCGTTGGGTTCGACTAGGAGGTAGAGATGACGCACAGAGAGGAGGTGAGGGAGCGAGAGGTCGATGCAGCCAGCCACTAAGGAGTGGAGATGAGGAGTGTTGAGAACAGTCACGGGACACCCGCCCCCGACAATGGAGAGAGTGGAGAGGCGGGGCGAGGCGAGGAGGAGGAAGGAGAGGCGTGAAGCTGCAGTGAAATGGAAGCGGATGGTGTGGGCGAGGGGGAGGTGGAGGGTGATGGAGAGATGGTGTGGGAAGGTGGGGGAGAGAGAGGAGAACGAGGAGGTGAGGGAGGAGGAGAACGAGGAGGAGGAGGAGGAAGGGGAGTGGGGAGTGGAGGATGAGGAGAGGGGGATCGGGAGAGAGCATTGCTCCATGGCATGGGTGAGAGAGAGGCAGGTGAGCTGAGGAGAGAGGCGGTGGAGGAGGGAGAAGAGCGGCCAGTCATACCGCACATTGGAGAGGTGGAGGGACGTGAGGCGGGGGAAGAAAGGCGGAGGCGGCAGAGGAGAGGGCTGGTGAGGCTGCGATGGCACCGTTTCCGTGGGGCACGGGAGGAGGGTATAGGGTGTGAGATGAGGGTGTGATGTTGCCGTGTGCAGGGCGGGTAGATGCCATGTCCACGCACTGCCTTCCAGTGAAACATGGCGCAGACATGGGTATACTCCCAGCCATGCCATCACATCCCAGCTCGCTCCCTGCCCCTCCTCCTCCTCCTCCTCCTCCTCCTCCGTCTCCTCCTGCTCCCTTTCCACCTCCTTTTCTTCCTCCACGACTCTACCAACTCCTTCGATCAGCTCCTGCTCTCCTCCCTCAACCTCCGCCCACCTTGCCCTCTCCACCCTTCCTAACACTCCTCCTCTTCCGCCCCTCCCCCCCCTGCCATTCCTCAATGCTACAGGAGACGGAGAGTGTGTGGGACTGAGAGCATTCGCTAGAGGAGAGGGAGAGGGAGGGGGGAAATGCGGGGAGGAGGTACGGGGAAGAGGGGGAGACGGAGCAGATGAGCAAGATAGGTGGAGCGAGCAGAGGGAGAGGACCGAGGGGGCTAGGGCGCGCTGCAAGTGGTAGGGAAGGAAGAGCGGCGGGGAAGGGAAGTGCAGGGAGAGGGAGGTGAGGGAGGGGACATGAGAAAGGAACCAGAATAGGGAGGAGAGGCGGTTGGGCGGGACAAAGAGGCGGAGCGACGGGGTTTGCACAGCGTGTTGCAGCAGCCGCTTGCTAGCCATGGCACAGACCACCATGGCCCAATCACAGCCTTCACACCCTTCCACGCCCCCCCTGCTCTCACGTTCCCACACCTCTCGCTCCCCCCTGCTTGCGCTCCCTCCTCCTCCTCCTCCTCGACCGTCACCACCACCACCGCCCTCCTGCCACTCCTGTCCCCTTCTCATCTGCCGCCCTCCCCCGCCACAAGCACACGCGCCTTCGGTATTGCCACTCCACCTGCGGCCACAGCCACAGGTGCACCCATCATCATCAGCATGAGCCGCAACAGCAGCAGCAGAGCGGTCAGCATCAGCATCAGCACCGTCAGCGCCATCACCATCAGTCCCATGGCCATAACCATGCCCATCACTACAACTATGCCCATGCCCATGCCCATGCCCATGCCCATGCCCATGCCCATGGCAAGGCGTTTTCCAAGTCGGATCGGAGCACAGTTGCCCTTGCTCAAGGCCATGGCCATCAGTGTGCCTCGCGCCTTCCCCTCCCGATCCGCCACCCTGCCATGGATGATGATCACCCATGCTGCCGCCATCTCTTCCCTGCGTGCTCTCGCTCTGGGAGTGAGACGCGCGTTCAAGGGGGTGAGCGGCACGCGAGGACGGCGGGGCGTGGGGGGCGGCCGGGGCGTGCGGGGAGTGGGCCGGGTAAGGATGGCGATGAGGGGAGTGCGGGGCGGGCAGGCTGGCCCTGCGGAAGATATGGAGCCACACGGAGGAGGGGAGAGAATCGGTAAAATAGCAGCTGGTAGAACCGCACGAGGGCGAAGCGTCATGACCCCGCTGTTCCTCATCCACCGGCCCATGCGCCTTCTGTGACGGGCACGTTTCATCCCTTCCGACTCTCCCCGCCGCGCCTGCCGCTCCTACCGTTCCTGCATCTCCTGCTCCGGCTTCTGCTTCCCCTGCTGCTGCTCCGCCTTCTCCCGCCGCTTCGCACCGTCCTTCGCCGCGAGCCTCTCCCACGCAGCATGCACTCTCGCCTCTTCCGCCCTCACTGTCGCACCAGCCCCCAGTTTCCCCGCCACCGCGCACCCGCCCTCCGCCTCTCTGCTCGTGCTCGCGATCCCCCTCTTGCACCCAATTGCCTGTCATCGCACCGCGGATCGTCTACCACCACAAACACGCTCTTACAGGCCCCACCCGGACCTCGATCCTGAACCTGATCCTGATCCCGAGCACACGAATCAACGTCTACTTCCGTCGTAAATCTCCTTTGCCGGCTTTCGAGGTTGCTTGCATCTTTTACGGGGAAAAAAGAGCACTACACGTCAACCGACTCTTACACTCTCAATTTGGCACGACCGGATTCGTCTCTACTCTACCCATACGCTTGCTATTTTCCAACACCTTTACACATCGGTGAGTTTTACGCATGAGCCGGCAGGCCGGCGATTCCATAGAAGCGCGCCTACCGAAACAAAAGCGCGAGGGATAAACTGGACTTCCAGAGCAAGAAATCAGGATGTGGGTTGGCAGGTCCGAGAAGTACGTACCCACAACGACTTTACTCTACCCAACCATTCTAACGCTAAAACAGAAGGCTTTATATCGTACAAAGCCATATTCAACCGCATTCGAACGTACGCACGCCATCACACCATTCAGCGAAAAATGAAGGGTTGTTGTCCCGCTGGACAGAAACACATCAGCGACTGCCGCTAGTTTTATGATGGGAAATTTCCCAGGGCAATGCACCAGCAAGCAACAATCGCACAGAGCATCCTGATCGGTTCGGAGCGAACGAACATCAACACCATCAACTTTCAGCGTACATACAAGTTTGAGTTTCCGACGAATTGCGCGAAAGCTTCGTTTGAATCGAACTTTCGTTTCGAGCCGTACTAGATGGTTTTGGCGACTTCTGGTAACGCTCAGGGTCGAACCAGCGTGGCTGCCACAAAGTGTACTTCACCGAAAATCCCCTCCGCATTCGCAACCATTCATTCCGCCAGCCATGGCCGCGCTTGCTAGCTCCTCGGCGCGCCTCGCTCTCCGCATTTCCTGCAATTTTGCTGCTGATGGATCTTCCGCCCCTAGCGGAGTCTCCGCGCCATCGCGCGCCAATCCTGCTCTGCGCGCGCTGGCGCAGCCCCAGCGCGTTGCCGCGGAGCCGTCTGCGCAACCCGCATCACCATCCGCAGAGCCGCCCACCATTTCGCGCCGCGCGTTGCTCGCGCTGCTCGCCAGCCTTTCCGCCTCCGCCGTCGGCGGAGCGGCGGGGGGAGCGGACTGGACGACACCCAGCAGCTTCCCCGCGCTGACGGGCTGGTTCCTCCCCGCTTCCGCGATCGCAGCGGAGGATTCCCCCGCCGGCTCGTCGTCGCCGGTGACGCCGCAGCAGCGCATCGTGCGACTGCGCGACGTGGACGACATCGAGCTGCAGAACGCGCTGCGAGCGGCGGTCGCCGGCGATCTAGAAACCGCCGAGGCGATGTTCACCAAGTTGATCGAACGGCTGCCGGAGAGCGCTTCCATGTGGTCCAATAGGGGGTCCGTTAGAATGTCCCTAGGAAGATACGAGGAAGCTGCGGAGGACTTCGCGCGCGCGATTGAGCTGGCGCCGACCGCGCCTGTGCCGCTGCTGAACCGCGGGATTGCGCTGTCGGTAAGGACGCGGAGGGTGGGGGAGGTCTGCGCGCGGCCGGCGGGGAATGGCGGGGAAGCTAGGGGCTCGTGACGGCGCATTCTTGTTTCAAATTCCAACACCCCTCCCCTCGCTGTTTGTCCGTATCTTTCCCCATGGTTCATGTTCCAACTTCCAATAACCCCATGTTCCCGTGGCCCCGTGTTCTTCCACCCCCACGCCCCGCGCCCTGCAACCCAAGGCACTAGGGCGGTTCAGCGAAGCGCTCAAGGACTGCCGGGCCGCCGTGAAAGTGGACCCCAAGGTGAGAGAAAGAGGGGGGAAGGGAGGGAGGGGGGGAGGGGGGGAGGTGGGGGAGTGCCTTTTGGGGCCGCCCTCAAAAGGCGCTCAAGGACTGCCGGGCCGCCGTGAAAGTGGACCCCAAGGTCAGAGAAAGGAGGGTGGGTGAGGTGGGGTGGTGGGGGGTTGGCGCGGGGTATGTTCACGAGGCGTGGGGATAGCGTTGGGTGCGGGCAGTAGGGGTGAGGTGAGCAGGGGATGTGATGTGAGGATCAGGGTTGATAGGAAGAGGCGATAGTAGACGAGGAGGGAAACCAGAGCGGGCAAGGGGGGTATAGTTGTTGTGCATGAAGGATGGGGGAGAAGAGGGCGTGTGTGGTGGATGTGAGGAAGTAAGAGGTCTCTTTGCATGCTCACCACTCCAGTCTTGGTGCCTTAAACCACGCATCCTTCCATCCGTCCACCTCCGACCTTCCATCTCCACTTCCACCCTCCTCACGTTCTCGCTCCCACCCTTTCGTCTACCGCCTGCTTCTCCTCTCCGTGCCCTCTCTCCCTGTCTTTTCCTCTTCGCACGCCCCTGAGTGCAGGAGCCAGCAGCGTGGTTCAACCTGGGCATGGTGGAGAGCCGCCTCGCCCACTTGACATGCGCCCTCAACCTCTCACTGCCTTCTCCCCTTTATCTTTCATCCCCCTCCTCTCCCTCCCATTCTCCGTCCCCTCACCCCTCCTCCCCTCCCCTTGCCCCACCAGGAGCCAGCAGCGTGGTTCAACCTAGGCATGGTGGAGAGCCGTCTCAAGCACTACGCAGCCTCTCTCGACGCCCTCAAGACCGCCGCGCTGCTCGCACCGGGCATAGCTGGTTACCGCATGGCCACTGCTGCCGTGCTCGTGCAGGTGCGGTGCGGTGCAGTGCAGTGCGGTGCAGAGCCATGCTTGCTATCCTGTTGTCCCTTTCCCGCTGCAACTAGACAGCAGGTCCTTGAATTTCAGTTATGCCCTGAGATGAACCTACCCGTTGAGAACCTTAGATGTACCTTCTCAGTGTGAACCTGAGCACTCGCAATTACCTCAACCCACCCTTTGCTGCTCGAATTACCCACAGGCCTGGCCAGCGGGATCATGAGGTAAGCAGAGCAGGTTGTCGTGAGAACCCATTTATGCAGAGGTGCATGCAACAAGTTCTGAGCCATCCCGAAAGGCGTCATGTTCGTCTGGAGCCATGTTGCGAATCCCTCTTCGCCCTGCAGCATTGCTCCTTCATGTTCTGTTTCATCCTTCTGCTTAGCTTGGATCCACAAGCTGAGGGGCGCAGATTCGAATGTCTCTTGTGTGCATTTACCTTACGTCTTCGTAAAACACACG